GAATCCGACCCTCACCCGGGAGTGTGCCCGATGCCTACGATATGCTTGGGAGAGTGAAGAACCGGTGCCAATCGGCCGGTTCTCCCCTTTCATCGTGGCATCTAGATTAAGGGGTAGCGAGCTTCCATCCAAGCTCCGCGAAGATCTGGAGATGGAGGAACGCGCCGCAGATGAGAGGGTAGCCCCGCGGTACGACAAGGGGGGAGAATTAAGTGCAACATTCTGTACAATAACTGATTTAATGAATAAGAATTTAAGTTTAAAGGCCCAGCTGCGTATGGCTGTTCAGGCGGTCAAAGAAACGGCTGAGAGAAGGGATCCTGAAACGCCAGCCCAAGATGGAGCCGAGCAAGAGGGAGACCGTATGAAAGAACCGGAAAAGAAGGGTGGAGCTTCGGAGGAACCCGCGAGAGTTCGGTCAGCGACTCCGCCCATCGACGCAGCATCGTCTCCGGCAACCTCGCCTAGCAACGCAGCGACGCCTCTGCCGACGGAAGGGAGAATCGAGCAGAGGAGTGCATCCGCCCCTCCTGCCTGAAGCAGTAACAGCAGCAGTGACTCCCGCAGCAGCAGTTCAGCCTGTAACAACATCGACTCCCGAAGAAACAGCTTGTCCTAGAGCCACGATCAACCAAGTAACTGATGAGCAAGATGCTGCCATCAGTCGCATTTGTACTTGGACGGAGTTACAGAAGCTGTATAAAGAATCTGAAATGGAGTCTGACGCAGCTATAGTCTCATGGCTGGAAATCATGTCCATGGAGTTTAAGCATGACTAACTGGTAATCTCCTTCGTCAGTTGTCACGACTGTGTATCCTGATGCAGCCAAGATTATCTATTGATCGGGACCGTCGACACCCGACCGAGATTCAAGGCACAAGACATCATGAATCCGATTTTCCATCACTGCCACAGAGAACACCAGAAGAGCGATACATGTTTGGATTTCTCCTACAGCGTTCTGGACTCAATAAGCGGCAACTTCAGATTTTAGGGGATGCAGGCCAATGGCAACTGGCCTATGAGTTAGGTTTCCATTATCTAGAAGAGCTAGATGACAGCTCCTCAACGATTTCATCTAGTTGAGTGTCTATATAGAAATAATAGTAAAGTTTCCTGAAAATTTTGTGAATATATTGAGATACGTTAACCTTTTTTTTTTTTTTTCAGAGT